GATTTCTGATAATGATGTGTTTGACTATAATGTTACAGGCTTTCAAATTAATGCACGACGAAAATACACACAAACACATGTGCATAATATATGTATCGACTTTATATACAGTTTGAAAATCTCTTTTATTTTGATTTTCTTTTTATCTTACTGAAAAAGAAGTAAACGAACGAACCAACGTTAATTTGACTTTATTCGTGACTTCTGTGCAATTGCGTTTTTCATTTTATCCTAAAACATATTTGTGTTTATTTTCCATGTAAGTGAAATAAAATGCTGGCTCATCAACTGAATATATCATAATGTACGCGTTCATTCAATAGTCACCAATGAAATCAGTTTATCTTTTCGTCAGCTGTTCCACATATTGCCAAAGAGCAGAACGCACAAACTTTTAATACATTGCAAATTAGGTCCCACATTTATTATTACATGTTATACTACATTGAAATGGTTAATCATAGACCGAATGGCAAAAAGCACACTTACAAAAAACACATGAAAAATGCACAAAAATATTTACTTACCTACACGGATGAAAGATTGGTAAATGCGTACATCACTGAGAAAATGAATGCAATCTGAATTCGACGACTTTTTAAGAAAACATTGAAAATCAAATACCATGACTGTAATATGTGAATGCTTTATTTAAATATATGTATCGCATTTCAAGAAGCTTGCATATGGCGCTCAATTTTTTTCCTTATTCTCAACATTTCTCTCTCTCTCTCTCTCTCTCTCTCTCTCTCTCGCTCTCTCGAAAGTAATATTTATTCTGTTCTTTAAGAAAAAAAGAGGATCTCTTTCTCTCACGCGCATACGCATGCACATACGGATAATATTCATATAAATAAAGCACATTTTACTTCATCGCATGGAACGATTTGCATAGTTTGCATAAACTTTTCAATGCGATCTTTAATTTTATGTGGAAATTTAATCTTTGTTTCTATTTTGTGTTCAATCATACGCTTGATTCAATATTTCTAGTTAAATATTCTGCGCCCGTGTCTTTCCTCACCTCACCACAATCAACAAATTCACAAATCATGTGTCTATTTAATGTGCGTATATGCGTGCGCGCGTGTTTGTATGCTCCAAAAATATTTTCGTTTACCATAGATGTTTGTATGGTTATTTTTATCATCAAATCATTGAACCTTGTGATTACATTCGGATAGGGTGAGCGCTTTTTTTATTATTATTATTCCAAAAATAGAACATTCATATCTAAACACTTGGCTGTCTATTGACATGAAGATATCATTTTCTATCTATGTTGAAATGAATATTCTTAGCAAATTACTCTCTATCTCTTACTCCGAATCACACCCACCCTAATGACAATACGTTATCAGGGAAGGGATTTTATATCAATAGATTCTCATATTTACAATAATATCTTCAAGCACACAGCATAAATGGAACTGAATATGAATTCGGTTTTCAAATCAAAAGACTTCGTCTTTAATTCGCAAATATATAATCATGTATACATACATTGTTCATGGGAAATTCGTCTCGTTTTCTGTTTTTAAATGGACTTCCTGTTTTGAAAAAAAAAAAAAAAAAAAAATAAAAAAAAATTTTGTAAACCAAATACACAAAAACTATAGTCTATATTTCGACCATCTTTCCATCTTGGTGTTGTATATTTCATCTTGTCTGTCCCTTTTTTATTATATTTTCTTTTAAATCTCTGCTTCGAATTAAATAGGTTCACTGTGCATTAAGACGGAGACCACAGGATGATTTATTAAACCGATCAAGTTCGATGGTCTATGATTTCATTCGCAAATAAAAAGTACATTATTTTTGTTGTTTGAATTTAGATACGGATGAAGTGTATGTATATTGATGGATTTCGAATGCATTTCGATGTAACATTAGAGAGAGAAAAATGGTAAGAAAATTGACTGGAAAGAATGTGATGATGACAAATGGATTGGAGACAGAGCAAACGATGAGAAATAATTCGATGTTTGAAATTCACCAAGCGTCAGTATGATTGATCGCTGCAACATTCAGTCACATTTTCTACTTCCGATATCCCACATATTGTTCCATCAACTTGTCTATTTTACAGATACAAAATTGCGAAAAACGTATATGTACATATAAAAAATCAAAGTTCAATTTGAATGCGGATTTTTTTTATATATTTAAAATACATTTTTATTTCATGTATGAAAATACCTTACGAGACAGAATGCACAAATATTTCATTTATTTCATACTCAGACTCTGGATAGATTTCTTGACTACTTGATTTTTTTTTTATTTTGCACCCTGAATTGCAAGGAGATTTTTACAGAACTAGAAAACTGGCACGTAATTTTTATACAAACGAAGCCATGAAAAACTACCAAGAAAACGAACTACACGCACAAAAAAATACTAGCAAAAACTAGTTAGTGAATGGCCCCATGCTGAATTGGGTTTGCAACACGAAAATACGCATTTTTAAAAAACAAGAAATTTACGTTTATATTTATAAAACTTCAATTTAGCTGGTTAAACTACTAGAATCCAGACTATGCTCGTATTTTAACTTTGCAACGAAAATCAAACGAATGTTATCTTTTCAACCAGTTTAAATCGAATTCATTCCAAGAAAAGTATGTGCTGTGAACATTGATGAAATGAACTAAAAACGAAATATCTAGCATCGATCTTCATTCGAATTGGTTGAATCAATTGGTATGAAAAAAAGGGAATGAAATTGGATTTTACACACAAACACACACACACGCACGCATCAAGCCAATCGAAATCATAACAACAACTTGATTTTACCTTCGATTCAAAATATTAGATTCTTGAAGCATATTTTTTCATTTTATTTGTTGTGTTTACGATGTTTGGCTGCCCTTGTTGATGTAGATAAGTGATTTATAAGAGAATGCATGCACCGTTGCACGATGCACAGCAAATATTGTTTGTACCTATATTGGATTGGATTTAAGCTTAAGTAATCAAAAATAATCATCTATTTGTGTTGTGCATCAAATGAGCTATCTGCTGCTCGGTATCTCTTGGAAACAATGTTGTACAATTTACAAATCAGAGCGGTGCGAAGAGTTAAAGTAGATAAAGAGTAAGAGTCGAAAGGATGTGTCATGATTGTTAAATCCAGATTTGCTTTTACGTTTTAGTATTAGATTGTATAGCTTTGTATCGAACATGGCAACACACCGAGAGAATTTCAACGTTCGATTTGTTCATGTGTTCAATGTTTATGACGCGCGCGTACACGTTTGCTTCTAGTGATAAACATCGTGTTGTTATTCGGTCGAAAAAACCAGAAATCAAATGTGCACAACATGAATACATGTCTCTATCGAAATCTCTTGGATATGCCATGCGGCAGTTTCATCAAAGGAAGCCACGTTTTTTTGGTCGTTCATACACTCTGTGCATTTTCTTTGTAATCTCAATATTTATGAATTATTTTATGACAAACGATTTGAAATTCATTTTGACAACAACCAAGAAACCAGATAATCTCTAGACGGAAATGAAAATGTACCGACATCGAAAGATGCGAGCAAAAAGCAATGAGATATATATAAGTTACAAAATACATAGTCACATATTCTGTGTATAGACAACATTCTATCTCCCAAAATGCAAATCCATCGAACCATTTGCATCCATTTTTATCATAATTTTTCCATTGAAAATCAATTGAGATTTTCTCAGAGTAAATATGTATGACTATCTTTCCAGCTCTATTTCTATGTCTCTCAATATCAAACTCACACAAATCTCACACAAATCCCGAACATCGAAATAAACTTATGACAGTGTTCAGGAATATTGTTTTTTTGCATGTTAAAATATCGTTCACAATCGTGTAATAAAATGGCAGCTTTTATAGAATATACGATAACAATGCAATTGAGACTTGTTTTGCAAACTTTATCCATCAATATCTAGATCAATATGGCAGCGAGATAGAGAGCCAACATATTCAAGACAAAAATAAACAAATGCTTTTAAATTGTGAAATCAAATATAGAAGTGTCAAAAATCACCCGCACGATGACTGATAATCAATTTTGTATGAAATATGCATAAATGAACAAACATGTATATGTTGATTTTAGTTTCATATTGATTTGCTATCAATAAGCTTCAATCGAAAACTTACTTTAGAATTGAAAAAAAACAAGTGAAAAATTAATGACTTTAAATCGAGAATAGCTAATAAAAGGATTTAAAAAAAAACGAATAATGCTCTATTCATTTCAGTTTGGCCATTTTGCACCATAAAATACACGCATCAACCATTGTTTTTGAAGTTAGCAATTCTGAAGTTGTCTGAAATAATTTGATTTGAGAAAAAATTGAAAAGCTAAAAGAAGATTTTTCGAAATTTACAGAAGAATCATTTCAAATCTGTTTCAAAGGATTAACGTGACCCCTGCGGTCAAAAGCTATATAGCTTCAACAGATTAAAAAAACAAATCCATCCAATACATAATAACATCGGACGATTCACACATTAGCATGCTGTATCACTGTAAAAAAAGATTAAACTATGCCGAGTAGTTTTATCCATACCATGGACAGTAAGTTCATGCCCATGGGCATTTCATTATTTAGATATTTTAGCTACCCCTTTACATGTTTTCTTGCTGGATTGCACCGCTGTCTAATATAATTGGCCACATTCGTATCGGAATTTGAATTTGAAATTAGTTGTTCATCTAGAAAAAATGCAATTTCTTTTCTCTTTTCAAATTTTTTTACTTTTATTTTTCATTAAATTAAAATTTTGAACAATCTGGAATGAAAACGCATTCGGTTTGTGTTTTTCATTTTAAAAACTAAATCGAGTTATACATAGAATGAGAGCAAAAAAAACGCTAAATTAAACGTAAAAACTTATTCGAATAATACACACACAGGAGAGACCGTACAACGTACATTCTAATTGCTTTCGGATAAAATTGCTTGGTTTCGTTTACTGTTTTTTTTTCAATTTTTTTTTCTTATTCAGTTGTAGGTGATGGTTTTTTGAACGGAATAACCGCCAGCCAATTTGGCGTTGATAATTTCATTGACAGCACGGAGTGCATGGATGGGAATCTGTGGCAGAATAAAGATAGAGAAAGAGAAAAATTGAATAAGTTTTATTGCATGATAAAGTTTGTGTGGTTTATGGTTTGAGTGAAACATTGTATTTTTGCGAAAAAATCGTTCAGTTACAGATTGATTAAAGGGCAAAATAATAAAATTACTTACGCTGAAGATTTCGTTGATAACTTTTTGCTTATCATAGGTGTAGACGTACGGTGGTCGGGGTGTAGTTGATGTTGTTGTTGTTGTTGGTCCGGCGGTGCTCGTTTGAACTTCTTCAATGCGCTGCACAACCTAAAAACCAAGAAAGTATACATCAAAATTCAAGTCCTAAAAAGAGAACAATTAAATGTGTTTTTGTGTTGTTTTTTCTCGCGGTGTAAAACATGCAATTCTCTACACACAAAATATGTTCTAATATTATAGAATTTAAAGTGAGTGAAATAGAGTCCATCTGCATGATGCTGATAGATAGAGAGAACTAAATTACCCATGCATAGAGTGAGACCACAGATAAATTTCAATGTGCACACACATGTCATTTTACGTACTATGAAGTTGATTTCATTTACCTGATATGGTGCTGTAATTTGAATGCGTTTATGAAAAACGGCCGGTTGATAAACTGGAATTGGGATTTGTTTGACGATTGCCGGTTGTTGGTATGTTACATATGAGGGAACTTGTACTTGTTTTTGTACAACCGTGTACTGTGTGGGCCGTATTTTGTGTGTGTGCGTGTGTGTATGTGTGTACGTGCATGTCAAGTGTTGTGGATTTGTGGTTTTTGTTGAATTTCCCGCATTGGTGTGTGGTTTTATGTGGTTTTTATGTGACGATACATAGAATACATGCAATGTGCAACAATTTAAATGATAGAATTTTAGAGATTACATAACAACAGAAATTTTGTGTTTTTTTTTATTAAAACCATTTGAACAGAAAAAGAATAAGAAATCAGTCCCAAATTTTAATATATCTAATTATTATTTGGTACGTACCGTTTGTGGACGTGGTCGAACCTTAATCTTTTGTACATTTATGGTGGCCGGTGGATTAACGATTTGTGTAACAGTTTGTTGTTGTACAGCTGGTACTTGTGGTACTTTATTGTCTGTTAAATCGTTATCATCTTCATCGATCGACGAGCTTGAGATTGAACTTGGGCTTGCATCAACATTTGTTTCACTTTGTGTTGGCCCAGGTGCCGGTAAATATGTTATACCACCAGCCGGTACAGATGCAACCTAATCAAAAATAATCAACAATGTTTCGAGCACCACACATATAAACATATATTCAAAGAGGTTAGAAACACACAAAACAATGGAACTTATAATGAAAGTGAAAGCATAGATAAAAAATTGCAATCATTGACGGGTTATTTACCGTTGTTTCAGGTTCCAAATAAGTGGTAGTGGTAGTAGTAGTAGTAGTGGTAGTGGTAGAAGGAGTAGTTTGTAAAATAGTACTTTGTTCAGATTGTTCAATCTGAACGACAGGAGTTGTGGATTGGATATTAACAGATTGTGTTTCGGTGTAGATTGATTGTGGTTTTGTTTGTGTTTGAAGTTCCGTTGTGTCTACGACTACAGGTGCTTCTACGTCTACGGTTGTGCCAATATTCGACTCAACATTCGATTCTACATTTGTACTTACAGTTTTTGTGACACTCTTTGAAATGCCACCAGCATGAGCTTCGGCATCACCAACACCAAATGAACCACCATTGTTTAAATCACCAGCCAAAGATGCACTTGCCCCAACCCCATTTCCAGCACTTGCACCGGCAAATAAACCACCACGAGTATTGGCTAGAACATTTCATGAACATATTTTTTTTATTTTTGCGATCTTTTTTTTCAACTACAAAAGACTGGAAATTGAAAAAAAAAACTTACGACCAGTATTTCCACCTAGACCAGCGTGAGCTGTTTGACCATAAGGTGTCCCAGCCGAAGCAGTAAGACCTCCATGTGCTGCATTACCAGTTAAAAGTCCTCCCAAGCCAGCTTCAGCGTGGTAACCACCAAAATTCACACCGATTTTACCATCTTTGAATGTGATTGGTAGATCCTGAAATAGAAAAAAGGAAAAAAAAACTCAATTGAAAAGTGTTAAAACCAAAACTAATTCTTGAATGAATCAATCACAATTGAACTAGCTATTACACAATAAAAGCGTTCAATGTATGAAAACAGAGAGATACAAAAATACGCTACCAAATGTGGACTGTTTTATTTCTCGTATTTAATTTACGGTATAGTTAGTGAATTTATTCATAAAATATTCCACACGCTCACAATCTTGTTTGTCAACTATAGGCGGATTCAAGTTCAATTCTACCATTTTATCTCTTGCTAGCATTTTTTATAAATCATTACGATGTACAATTTCAAGCTCAAGTTCGTATGTGAGTAATCAAATGAGGATTTTTTTTTTTTTTAAAGCAGCTAAAAGAAGTAACACATCGCTATGTTACACACGTCATTAAATGCGCACTGGTTTACCTTGGTATTTTTTTATAGAAACAAAAAAAACGAATTTCCAAGACAACTTAATCAATTCACGTTGTATATTCGCGCTCTATCAAACGATGAAAGGTGTACCGATGCAGTATATCAAATATATGTGTGATTTTAACCATAAAATCGTGTAGTATGAATATTTTTGGATAAATTAAGGCGATCAACGACTTTTATCTTTCAAATTTCGTTGCCATGTCATTAATTAAGACCAAAACGTTTCCGGTTTTGAAACAATGCTTGATGATTTTCGTTGAAACTCTTTAAAATTTCATCAGTCATTTTTACAATTATTGTTAGATTTGAGCGCCAAACCCGAAAAGTTTTATCATTGACATTTCCAAAAAAAAATTCGTTGAAATTTTCAAGAACAACTGCAACGAGAAACGATAAAAATTCAAACTTCCACTGACTATACAAATATGAAGACAGTTATGTGCCGAATAAAGACAGTGTGATTTATTTTTTGCAGGATTTAAGCGAAATCATAACTCTAATTTTTTCGATTGATTATTTCATAGACCGTGTGTACTGAGCTACAATATTTATCGTCGACAATTGTTAAATGATGATTTCGTTCAAATGCAATAAAAAATTGAACAATAAAACACAAAACAGCTCTATCTTTTAATGAAAAGAAACGATTAGTTTAATAATTGATTAAAAGATCTCTTTTTATATGCGGAAGAAAATTGAAATGGTTTGTACTACTTATAAACTACTGAGAAATATTTCAAATTATTTACAGGTAATTATTTTGATAGTGCTATTCATCATAATCCTTGTTGTTTTATATATATATATAATGAATATGTACGTCGATAAAGACAGCAGTTTATACGGCATTACTATATGAATGATTAATCATCATCATCAAAGTGGTTTTGAGGGCGCTTTGAAAAACTAGATGTACTATGCTCTTATTCTCGCCTATAGCATTTCTACACACATACGGAAATCATTTTATAGCCAACAATAAACTTATCGTAAACGAGTAAAACGGTGATACCTATAAACCTAGTGTATATACAATAGATTATTATGTGGGGCGGGGGTAGAAAATCATATGAATCTCTGTCAAACATTATTTCACTTATTCGCGAGTGAATGGCAAATAATACCACTTAAGTATATTCATCCCTCAAAATTTTTATTGCCTTTCTATAGTAGATCTATGTTCTATATGTATACAATTTGCAACCAAGGTATATTACGTATATTTTCTTTAATCTCTTGACCTGAATAGAACAGAACATTTCATCCATATTATGATTTCATCGTAAAATCAAAAAATTCTCTCAATTTTATCGACAATTAACATTTTAAATTGATATCATATAAAATATATTCGATAAAGAAAAAAAAACCAAAACCACATTTCGATTGCAACGGCATAACGAATAAATGTGATAATTTCATTAAACAAAATAATATATCATCATCAACCATTCGTTCGAATTTTTATCAGATGTGACAGACATGTTAATTGATCACAATTCAATTTGTTAATCGTTAAAAATCGGTCAATTTTGGTTTTCTCTTCCTCCGATTATTTGATATTTGTTATAATTTCCGAAATCAATAACATTGAGATGAAATTCAACTAAAAACTTGAATTGTTGTATATAGTTTAATATTGTTGTTGTACGGTGCCGTGCAGCAATCAGTAATAATCAATATGCTCAATAGAGTAGTGTATTGCTTGTAAATTACCTTAAAGAACAATTAAACAAAATAGAATACAGCTTAATAGAAAAAAACATTTATTCTAGCGCACATTGAAGTGAAAATTCTCAACATCTTACGCATTGTTTATGCTGTAAAATATATGATTATTTCATTGTAAATTGCCATTGCGTTGAGTTCGGTCTTGAGAAATAAATTCACTTAATTGTTCACTATTTCAATGATTCTCCCCCAATTTTGTAGCTGAAATATGCACGAAAACCAAGGAACTTTGGCTTCTTCATGCTATTTCTCTTGTTTTCACTCATTCTCTCTTGGCATCTAACAAAACTTATGATTTTATTCATGACAGATGAGCAGAAGAACCAACCTTATTCATAATATTAACCCCCAAATGTTCGCTTCAAGATTTAAAACTTGCGATATCGGTGTTTCAGAATCAGAATGTTATTTCTGATTTCGAAATTTAAAAAAATGTCGTTTGGATGACAAAAATCGAAACAAAAATCACTGGCTATTCAGCGGATATATCCAGTAATTTTCCAAACACTTACAGAAATACGTCTTGCATATGCACTCAAACATTCGCAATGGGTTAGGAACGTAATTTATCATTTGCATAAAATTTGGAAACATCTTTCTTCTCTCACACTCAGATACTATTGCCTTTTGAAAATATTTGACTTCACAATGCAAAGTTTTTGTAGAATTTTTTTTTTAAATTCCACTGTTTTTTGAGTTTTCTACTGCGAAGAAATGTTTGTTCAAATGTTCCAGTTTCCTTTTTTGCCAGTTTCTATACCAATTCAATTTCTAAGAAAATCAACGCACATAAAATATGCACAAATTATTCATTTTCCGATTTTCATTTTGTAAGGATGCACTATTTTGTGTGAAATATGATATCTTTATCACGCACCAGAAAATAGAAACGAATAAAATATTCGATGTAAATAAGCTACAAACCTTGGCGAAAATCATTTTGCTACCGCATTACAAATACAGCGATGTGTAACATTGTGTATTAATACAACCCGATAATTAACCCGACTGATTTTCAATTGTTCATTAATTCAATGCGTTTTTAAATCGATGTGATTAAGTGTTCACAGTCGAGATCAGACACATGAATCTCCGCTATCAATTTAATCAATGCAATTTGCTGTTAAATACACTTTATGGAATAATAGAATTCACTAATTAAGCATACGATTCCATCATGTATTTAAAATTTTAACCTTCACAGTTTCACATTTAAAAAAAAAACATTAGATATTCATGCTCTGATAATGTGCGGTGGGCATTTGAATTTAAATGTGTGTTAAGTGTGTTTTATTGTCTCTACAAAAATTTATTTATCCATTTAATGGAATGTATGATGATAGAGACGTTCAATTGTATTTTAATAAATTCCAATGAAATGTAGTTGTTTGTATATATAAAAGCCAGTCGTCGACTATGTTTCACTTTGTTCTTTTATTACTGAGTTATCGTGGCAAGAATTTATTTGTCATTGTGGAATATTAATCCAGTGACTATGACAAATTTATGCAGTAAAATTGCAAATTTTTTTCTCTCTTAACGTATCATCATCAAAGTTTTGATTTGAAATTCTATGCGCGGTAGCATATAAAATTGCGAACAAAAATGATCAAGACCGACAGAACGTTGCTGACTGAATTTAAATAGGTTGAAAAAAAAGAACGAAAAACATGAGAGAGAAAAAACGACGGACGAATCATCTCGCTTAAGAGTGTGACTGGTTCTTATTCGCTTTGGTTGGAAAAGTTTCTAAATAGAATTCTGAATGCTGATTTGAAATGCGTCTCTTAGAGTTCACTTTAAGCACATAATACACATATGGTTTGTTTGGAGAGCAGCAACAGGTGTATTCTAGATACTATGTAACCACTTTGGAATGTATAGGACGACTAAAAGACAGACACATCGCAATATTTATTTTTGGTTTTGTTCATTTTGCCGTTGTCAGCCAAGTGCTCTACATTTTGTTATTGTTAAAAAATTTGGAACGTAAAATTGGCGCACAATAAAATGAAATATTTTTATTCCAAGCGTAAAGCGCTGGATTAATTACGAAGATAAATATACCATGTGCAAGCATTTTCGGTGCAATCCCGTTTTTCGTTCCATTTACAGTGAGTCTGTAAATTGGGATTTTCATTGCGTTTAAGTTCGGAGGGAAAAATGAAGAAAAACACACCATATTCGATGAAAAGTGGAAAAAAATCGCATTTCACATTTCAAACTTGCAAATACCTGGCCAACACATGTGAATGGAAAATTTTAATTTTGATGTTAAAAGGGTTCGGAAATTGAATTTGATTGGGAAAAAAAATGTAACGATGAACCGGTTAAATAATGAGAAAAAGTGATCAAACGAGTCGATGGTAAGCAATCAAACGCCAACACATATTTTTCACACGACGAAACCAAAGTGAATTGCCGATAAATTGACAGCAAATAAAAAACTTTTCGCGTTGCACAGAAATATTGAAGGTGAAAGTGGTGATGGGGACGGCAACGAAGGCCGTTCGTGCAAAATTATAAAACGAAATTCAATGCCGAAATTTACCTATACACACTGAGTGCACATTGAATTGCTACCAAGATTGGTAACGTGTATACAACATTGAATGCTTGATAAAGCATTTTGGATCTGAAAATGATTTAAAGTGTAAGACAGTTTGGGTGAGAGTGAAAAGAAAACACCAAATCCATTTACTAAATTACTAAAAACTGTATTATACAGTGGACCGTATTTTTGTTTTCGAAGAGAACATTTTTCAATGTCTAGACACTTTTTGTGCATTTCAAAGTAACAATTTTATTGCGTTGAATGTTCTAAGGCGCACGCCGTATTTGTTGCATTCGACCGGTACATTGCGTTTTTTTTTTCTTTAACTTCTTCGAATTTGTTCAATTTTTTTTTTATGTGTGTATATGTTTTTCATGCGATCAATGGATTTTTTTTCTCGTCCATAGCAAAAAGCAGACACGATGGCATGGAATAAATGTTGTGCATATATGTCTGGATGAACGAAAAATTGTGCGCGATGTTTAAATTATAATCCAAATGTATGACTGCCAACATAGAATCAATTCTTTGGTACAGCCATGAAAGATGTTTGTTTAACATGAACGTGAAACCGAATTGGTCAAAGTCAGCGCATTTTTACGGTACGCATCTGTTTGAAATAGATCGAGGTTTTCTTGCCTATTTCATTTCTTTCATTTTTTTTCTCTTGAGCACTTGTGTGTCTTGGAAATAACCAGATGGAATGGCGAAATGAAAAAAAAAAATCCGAATTGTATTTAAGCCATGGATAATAGGAAACCCCAACAAATCGCTTTTTGAATCGAAGCGAGACTAGCAAAAGAAAAATTTCTTTATCTTTTCTTTCGTTCGCTCTCTTTTCAGAGCAAATTGCTTGATTCTATTCATAAATATGCCACCATCGTTCATCGTCAGATTTTTTTCTCTATTTTACCTCTCTCTCTCTCTCTCTCTCTCTCGGTGTGTGTGTTTTTCGCCACCAATGCGCAATACAATAAATTCAATGCAATCATAATGCGATTAAATACGTATATCAAAAACTCAATTCGATATCTGCTTATTTTCCACAACAAATTGAGCGCACACAATGCATGCATGACCGAAAGTTGAGCATTAAAATCGCTTCTTCAGTTTTGTAATCTCTGATTTGAATGGCAAACGTATGAGCAAAAGCGCGCTCTCCAATTCAAATATTTACACAAATCGGTGGAACTGAAGCTTTTTTTTTTTAATCTTAATCGTATGCAACCGACTGAACATTTTGCGATGAACGGACTATGAATTTAATTAATTCAGCGAAAAATGAAATTGAATGGTTCAATTGCGTTTACCGAAAAACAAATTACATGCTATACACACACATGGAGATGTATACTTTATGGTTGAAAACGTAATTACTTTCGAACATTAATTGCTTGATGTACCATTCAGAAGTTGTTATTGCTGCAATGCGACCAGCGGTATGTTAAATCCCTCATAAGGTCTTTACACAAATACGTACACATGACACCAATTGTTTTGGCATAAGAAATAACAAACATCAACGAACATACATTGATTTATTATTCCATTATAATTATGTATTCAATTTGAAATTTAAGCCGGTGTATTTATTTTCGATTTGCATTGAAATCGGTATGCATTAAAAATCCACATATAATGTGCGTTTACAAATAATCACGTTCACGCATCGCACATAGAACAATCGCAGTGAAGAGATGCGCAAAAATTGAATCAATTACTAACAAATCAACGAATGACACAAAAGTTGAGACAACAAAACTGTGATTGAAGGTAAAGAAGAAGAAGTGAAACCATTCGCAACCAATGAAATCGAAATCAACACGCAATGCCATAAATCCGTTCCGTCTGATCCGTTCAGCCCATTCTGGAAATTTACTATATTCATTTATCTGCATTGAATACCAATTGGTTTTTGCAACTACATTTACATGCCCAAAAACAGTTAATTCGCGACGCTCTTGATGCAGTCGCAATATCAAAAGACTCTTTCGGATGTAAACAACAAAAATATACAACAATGTCTAGTACAAAGCGCAATGTCTAGTTCGATGGCCGTTAACACCTTCTTCCATATTGTGAATTGCTCAAGAAAATCAATGCGTATGCAATTGAATTATTAAGTTTTAATGAAATTACAACTTAATAATAAGCAATTGTTTTTGAAATTTGTTTGAATGCATGACTGCTTTTTTCGGCTTTCTAATTAAACAGAATGATTTAAGAATGAATTACATAAAATGACATTGAACACATTTCAAATGCCGACATCAACATGTGACTCGAACTTATTTTTAATATGAAATTTTTCTATTTTTAATCAACGGTTTGCATCACCAAAACAGCATTGCGTGTATTGTATTGCTTTTTATGCTCATCAAAATCGTCTTATAATTAAATTTGAAGTGTGCAAATGTATGAAAAAGAATTATCTTATCAGTATATAGTCTAAATGCACTAATTGGACAAGAGTTTGGCATTAAATGAATGTGTATGAAAAGGGCGTTTCGTTGAAATGACTCAATCATCATTATTTTATCGTATACGATGACGTTGTGGACTTTAAACGAGAGATGAAACAACAAGTAAACATTGACACGGTCCAAGAGACTCGCTACAATTTCCAAGTACTTATGCAATGTAGAATTGATAGAGAGCAAGCGAGACGCCAAGAACGCCACACGATTATAGTGCACAATAAATAAAAAAAATTTAAACAGAAAAATCTCGAAGAACAGGTTTATTTGTCGTAATATGTTTCATTTAATTCTATTTTTAGATTTTGATTCGGATCTCTGATGATGTTGTAATTAAAACCAGAGAATAAAAAACAACCAATGCAAAAAAAAAGGAATAAAAAAAAGTTGCCACAAAAAATAATAATAAGATAACAACAAAACAATGGTCATCTTTTCATCTTGGGTAAAACCATTTTGGATTTGCTACTCAACAAACTAACTCATGACAACATGTACGGTAAATTGTTTACGTCAGTTGACAATTTAATGAAAACATGAACCACACGTCAGAACAACATGTTCACGTAAGCATGCAAGTGTTCCAGAGAACATTCGTGGCTATGGAAATTAATGAAAAAAATAAATTCATTTCATCGTGTGTTGTTTTTTTTCTCTCTGCTTTTTCTTTAGATATTAGTCCGCGCAAACGAAACGCAGCGTATATTCCATATTGTGAATGTGCATAATCCTCCAACACAAAATGAAAATGTGCTTTAATCCAGTTGAACCATACGTCATACCAATTAAATGAATACATGTCTGAATTATTTGTTCGCAATTTCAAATAAATAAATTCATTTTAAAATTGCACACGGTAGGTAAAAAAAAAGATATATAAAGTAGACCAAATCTATTATTTCGAATAAATAATGAATTTTTAAATATTCTGCGAATGTGCAAGTAGACACATGCATCTGGAATTTATTTTAGTCGCACCAACTACACTGACACGGAAAGATAGACGTAGAAAAAATTCCAGAACTTCATTTAAATGTCAATGTAAAAATAGTGAGCTGACTCATTTTGATTTACTATTATTACTACAGAGTCTGTACAGACAAAGACGTCCACATCATTATCTTATGGTTTGTTTATTTTTTCTTCACATGATTTTAACATGCAAATCTTCAGTTCAATTGCACTTTTCTTTACTTAATGTGGCGCAGACAACAGTGTTATCGCTCATTTTCATGCTTTGACTGAAATTTATATCCAAAATGTATTACTGCTCTTATTATTCGTTTTACCTAGAATAAGTAAAATTAAATGGCGATGATTCGTGTGAGATTTTAGTTCCATCTTGAAACAAGTATACATCACAAATTGGTATTTTGCAAATATTTGCAGTGTGACCAAAGTCCATTTGGAAAATTACACAAAGCGAAACAATTCCTTTCTACGTCTTCATCGAGTAGATGCGTCAATGAAGTCATTGGAAAGATAAAAATTTGATCGGAGTTCGAACAAAAATGTGTCCGAAGCTTAAAGTGTAGAACGCAGACAAATATGTATGGTGCCACAAGTCCGAAAGTCTGAAACGTTGTTCAAAATAGTTGTCTGTACGTCTGGAAAGTTCATAACGGATGGACGGATCGACAAAATTGGACATTTGTCCATTACCACTTTTAAATTAGAATAATGGAAAAATAAAGTTTTCCGACAAATTAGAAGTATGTGCCAATTTGCTTATGAAATTTGAAGACACACACACGAGAGAAATGAGTAACAATCCATTGATTATCCGATTCATCATTCAAATGATTCAACAACCTTTGTTACATTGTCAAACGAAAAAATACAGTGGATGGAAAATCCAACCACACGCCATAAATTTTATATTCATATGTTTGCCAAAAGCACCAGATATGATAAAAGAAACACACACACGCACACGTGAACGAAAAAAAAAAACGGTCATTTCATTTTAAAAATGGTGTTTTTCCACTGTGTTTGTCATTTAGAGCAGAAATTCATTTGCGTCATTCGTTTGCATGCGATTTGATTGATTTAATTTACTGTGACATGTTGCAATATGAAAACTACTTAACACCCACGATTTGGGACCAAATGTAAGCAATGTAACACCCGAAATGCAAATACGCAAATCAATTGATTATAACCGAATTTAAAATGTTCGAAGCGATTCAAACCAATGTGATGGTTTGCCATAGTGCTTTGTAGAACCGAAATATTATTATCAAATCACTTAAAATGCGCATCAATGGCATACCATTTTTTGCTTTTCCATCAATTTTTTTTTAGTGCGATTCAATTTGTTTTGATCACAATATACTTAAAATGTCAATCAAAATTTCTATCATAATATAATGCAATTTTGATTTAAAAAACGAATGAAATTCAAACATACCTGTGACACAACCAGTTGAACAACTGCACAAATGCTGAACAATTTAACAAACATTTCGAATCTCGTTAACGCGGACTTTATATATGCTTTGCACGATATAATAATAAATTATAACTTTTGCTATTCGGAAAAGGTAATCAAGGTTACGGTCACTGTTAACGTCTTTTTCCAGATGTTGTTGTTTCGTTTTCGTTTCTTTTTTTTCTTTTACACGTTTGAAAGGCAACACTGAAGAATGAAGATATTTGTGATCTTTCGCGCTCGAACGATCGACTCGCACTGATCATAAGATTCTGAATATTGTTCTATATCACTGATCGCGCCACATTATACCTTGATGTGTCTTTCCTAGAGACGTTCAGCATGTTGTTACCTACCTGCTTTTGCTTTTATGTTGTTTAGTGTTTCACACGACGTTCACTTTGTGCGAACACATTGATTATCTCTGTGGCTATTAGGCGAGCGCATGAAAGAGAGACAAATCCAAGAGTGGCCGACGGTTGTTGTATGTATGTATGTGTTAAAACTTGTCCATTGTTGTGCCTTAATAAATCGGCTTTGTCTTTTTTGATTCATGGCACCGATTGATGGAGGAAGGAAGAGAACTTCGCCGCATTGAGGTTTCGAAAGTGAGCGTTTGCAGATGCATTTGTGTGTATGTCAGTTGTAGATTTGCACATAATGTTTCATCGTTTTTATCACAAAACATGGTTGTGATAATGACAAAGTCAATGACACACACGTTATTCGAATGTGAACGCGTTGAAAAGTGGTTCTGCTTTAATGGTTACGTGATCATTTCTGTTACACATTGGAACGATGAACACCAAAAATAGAAATGGTTAGATAGTATGAAACACTAGAATGTTGCTATTGTTAATCTAAATGATGTTTATTAAAGGTTTTTCTGACCGTAATACGTTTCTTCATGTACTGTGAACCAGTCACTTGCAATTTTATACCATTGACCGGTTTTTGCCCTACGGTGCAATATAATATAATCTTCTAAATGTCAGTTCTAATGACTGTCTCTATTTCGTTGTTTTCCTTCATTTTATTTATTTATTTTTCTTTTCGTTTTTTCTCATAATATCGTCCATTTACCTCACAATGCTAATGGCTCGAAGTCATTTTCGATCCTAATTGTGTATGTAGATTAGAAACGTCGTATGTACCTATAGCTTGTATATTATCAGGATAAAATGGGAGATTGAACGAATGAAAATGAAAATTCAACGATGAAATAAAAACAACAACAAGAAGTATTCCATGAATAAATCCTCTCACATGAACGCCTTCATCAAAATGGGGGTCAAATTACGAAAGTGAGACCATATTCCGAAAATAATTTTGACACATATAAGGTTAAACACTTTTATAATTATCATGCTAATGATTTCCGCTTCAGTTTTTATTTTGGTTTGCAGTTTTCCATTTCTATTTTTTGTTATCATTAGTATCGTGTTTGCTTCCTTCCGCCAGTATTCTTTTTCAGCTTGGATTATGCGAGCGAGAAGAGAAAAAAATGTGGCTCACCAGCATCAAGTGTTGTGTGTGTATGTGATCCATTACTACTTCTATAACCGGTTTCATCTTTTTCTCTTGGTACGTTTTAACGCTTGGAAATTAACATAGCATTTAAATAATTTTGTACGATACACGGTGTGATCCAGAAGTCATAAGTAAATAGCGAATAGATAAAAAAAAGAATATAAAGAATAACATAAAGTCTAGAATCGTGTGCCGAATCAGCTTTTTGTTAGGCCAATCATGACAAAGTGTACCGTTATCACGATATGCAAAACATATTGAGTTTATATCACATTTTGTGTATATGTACGAAATTAAAATGTACAAAGAGATTGGAATTTTTTTCATCATCATCATCACAAGGTTGATTTTATGGCCGAGATAATCATGCAAATTGTATCAATGTTTCGTGAAATTGGTGAGAGTGGGAGCAAGAGAGAATAAAAAGAAGTGAAACCAGATTTTTTTTCTGGTGAAACCAAGAGAAAAAAATGAGCAGTTTTATGTAGATGTCCTCGCTACTACAATCATTCAATTTTCATATTCGTGTGAGATGACGCACTTTTGACCTGATTCGATGAAACGCTTTAGTGTTTTTGTTGATCTATGCTCATTTCAATATTTTGTTGAATTACAAATTTTCTGGAAATTTTTATTAATAATTTTAACGATGTATTCGAAGAACTCTTGATTAAAATTCTGCATTTGGTTCGCTTTTTTTAAGCATCAAAGTGGATTTTTATTTTTGCTTGATGGTTCGATGTAAAAACGATGTTGAATTTAAGAAATATTTCTGACTCTCAGGAGTCCGCAAACAAACTGAGTAATTAATAAGGTTGAACATTATTTGTGAATTGAGCTTAAGAATCGGAAAAAAATGACCGAAAACGATTTTAAAGCTTGATGGCACATCAAGCAATGCAAGACATCATTAAAATCAAAATATAACGCATTTCAGTTCGTGGTATTCTGAATGATGCTCATTTAAGTCGACATACTAAATTTCAACCAGCCACTTAGGCAAAATGAATCATGTCTCAGTAGCTAATTAATTTAATTCAGAGCATTTAACTAATTTAATGTAAGAATAAGACATTCCGAATAACTATTTGGAGCTTTTGGAATTCTATTTAAGTTTTTTTGATGCCAAGAAATTGAAATGTACCAAACATTTACGAATATCCAGTTCTATTGTATGTAAATGAAATGTATTAGTATTTCTTTTGATTTTTCATATGAGTCGGTATCAATTTCAATCTTTCTAGATCAATTGTAATCAACATATGTATAATTGTACATAATGGCACGTTCAATTTCATTATCAACAAATTAAAAAAAATGTAAATTTGTGGGTAAAAGAATGCCACAAATGATATTAAACGTGTGGGATTTTTTTCTAAGTCAACCATCCCCTGTAGGTATTCATATGAATTTGGTTTCAAAATACATGTGCTCAACCGATTTATTTCTCTATTTCTTCATAGAACATAGTGCAATTAAAACGTTGTAATCAAAGGTACAGTTACAAAGAGTAAATGTCTCATTCCAATCCGGTTCAACAGCGACATCGTCGTCATCAGTGAAAAAGTGAGAGAGAGCACATTTGATGACTCGATTGCAGTGCAAATAAAATGTGATTTACGAGATTACAATGCGTTCAAGGACAATATCGTATCGAACAAAATACAGTTCTGAAACGTGCACACAGTTGTGACTAATTGAACAAAGTGTCATTTAACATTTTAAAACTTGTTCGCATTTCTAGGTGCATGCCACTTCCAACTTCCTCGAAATAGATTGAGCAAGAGATAGAGCCGCTTATACTCTGATTTGAGTTCAAACAATTCAATGTACACTGCTATTTTCGAAAAACAAAAAGTGTCGTAAATTCGAAATTGGAATTGATTAAATGTGTACGCAATTGAAATCATCTCGGTTAATGAAAAAGTAGGACAAAACGATAAACAAAACGAAAAGAGAAAGAAAAAACTGAAAACAACCGGATTTGATAATATACATATGCGATTAAAATAGAGAAAAGTGTGTGTTTTCTCGATTGTCTCCATTTAAATGTTTGATTGAGTTGTTGAGGTAAAAAAAACGATTTGTGGGAACATGCATCCCAATATGAACTCAAAAAATTCTCTTTAAAATGAAACGAAAGCAATTCAAGTCTACCGTCTATTTTTTTTAATCGAGAAAATTGAAAATAAAACTCATGACATTAAAAAACTTTTCTATTTTATCTTTGCTCTTCTGCATCACGCATTATATTGAGTGAAATACTTGAACTGTGGTACACGGTAAAAGTTTGTAACGCATTCATTGCTAATGGTTTTCATTTTGACAATAAAAACTGTGTTTGCTTCCATTTATTGCCAACGAAAAGTTTCTTTTTTAGTATTAAAAAAAGTTTCACTCGTGTAATTTGTACGATTCAAAAGAGCACGTATTTATATTCTTGACTGATCAAAGGCAAAGCAAAGAGACAATAAAAAAAAACATCTGAAAAGATCGAACATCTGCCCTTTAAACGTCATTGCATATTGAAAAAATGCATGTGAACGATACAATTTGTTGAATTGCATCCACAGATGATTTCAAATGTAAAACCGTCATTTTGTATTTCATTGCGTTACGCTTTATAAAACGTGAAAATAGTGAACATAGCACCCTGAAGGCTGTTTATTCAGCGAAGGTAAATACTAGTGGGGACAGTGAGAGTGAGAGTGAGAGTGAGAGTGTGAATGGTATAAAGTAAATTGCAAGCGTAAAGACAATATAAAAGTAGATAAGTCGAGGTTAATCGCTCAAAACCCTTAACTATAGATGTGTTTATAATTTGAAGCAATTAATTTTGACTCAAAATGTGCTAGTAATTCGAATGAATGATGCGACTTCAATTTAATAAATCTTTTGATGAATAACTAAATTCGTTTTACATTTACGATAAATTAGACAGCCATTCACCAGCACTCAACATTCAACATGGCTTGTGTTCATCAAACGTAACCCACAATGACACAGAATGGTCGGATCTATTTTGTGGCCACGATGGAATTTAAATTAAATGACTAAAAAATTACTTTTGCTATGAATGTATCTTGAGTAACTGTTGACACATAGAAAAGATGAATAAAGACAAAGAGAGAAAGAGTGCTATAGAATGAAAGAATGAACTCTACAGCAAACATTGAATATCACAGCATTTGATCGAATGAATTTTCATAGAAAATTAAGCTTGATGCCATTGTACAAATCTCTATTTAGTGAATCAAGCAATACAACATTGCATTTTTGTTTTCAAGGGAATGAGTACATGACAAGAGCACCAATTGGAAAATACGGTCTGTAATTGCTACTCTCAGACAAAACTTTATCTTCTCTCTATCTCTACCCATGCTTATTCCTATTTGATAATATAATACCCTTTATACGTTCAAAACACTAAACTCTGTGACTTGCTGCATCATGTTGTTGCTGCTGTACTTCATGCATGCTCCAAAAAGCGACCAAAAAAAAATCAACAACGAATGGTTTTTTGTGCATGAGATATTTGTTGGCATCAGTTGTGTGTTGTGTGGTCATACATTTCAGGGAACAGTATGCACTTTATTTAATTGTTATGCATTCGAACCAGTGCATAATTGTTAAGTTGAGCGACAATTTTTCACATTCTGCTGTCACATTCACCACTTTGTCGTTGTCACTCACGCATTGAAGATCGGACTCTTGCTTATGCATTGCGTATATACGATAGTTGTTCTGTGTGAGTTCATTGCATTTTGTGAATTTCATTCCTTTTATCTTTATATCTCTCTTTCTCTATTTCGTATTTTCTCTCTGCATACTCACTTAGTGGTGAAAATTAATTTCATTTCATGCAAATAAACCTTTTACATATATCTACTATAAATACTTCTTTCATCTTAATCAGTTGTAATGCTGTATGAAGACTTGAAATCCTTTGTGTACGAAACGTGCATTATCACAACAATAACAAGACCACCATAAAGCGGACAAAAGGCCAAGAAAAGAGAAATATAAAAAAACTTATTGTTTTTAATACTTTTTCGAATACACTACGCAATCAAGTTTATCAATCCAAAAAAAGAATATGCGTCGACTTCTTTTCATAGGATAGAAAAAAAACCGTTTGAACAACAGGGCACAAAATATGGAAAGCCGAAACACTTCCCGAAAATACTTTTAATTCATTGTGTCCCTTTCATAATTAATGCATTACTATTATGAATTCAAATGGTGAACGTTCACAATGCGATATCAACATTTCTTTCTCACTCCGAAATAATCTCCAATTTGGTATTCATATACGCCATGAAATAATTGTATGTAGAATTGGTGGTGCCACTGGTATGTTTGAAAAAGAAGAAGTAGACTTGGTCAATTTATACCAGATAGATTAAGATAATAACTCTTTTTGGAAAATCGATTATCTGAATGGAAT